ATTTTTTTTTATTCACAACGAAGCCTTGGGCTGCGAGGTCGGCGAAAATTATGGAGCGATTGTGCTATGCCTCCGTTTGAGTGGCACTGATGAAAAGGATATCATCGACTTATGAAATAAGGCGAATGCCACAGCTATGCCATCGTTTGGAGAGTTGCTTCATTAACTGGGTAAACACAAATGGCGCTGTAGCCAGCCCGAAAGGCAAGGATAGGAATTGGTAGTCCTGCCCTTGCAGAGAGAATACGAGAAACCGCCAAAAGGCGGGGTGAATGTCGACATGGTGGTATCCGGGTTTGAGATTGATCGTGAATAGCCAATCGCCTTCTTGCACCAAATCAGGAACGAGAGTAAAAAATTTGCATAAAAACAAGGTACTGAGAGGAATGAGTTAACATGCCGCAAGTCCAATATAAGCCCCGTTTTAGAGGGCTGGACAATCACGTCTAACGGGCTAACGCATGTAAGGGTAGCGGAAGGAGGTACGACCCGAGCTGTGTCGGTGGCGAGAAGCTCGGCCACTGCATCTACTGCAAAAGAGGTGAATTGCACAGCACCAGCATGTTTCTTAGTACGAGACGGAGTAGGCTCAGGTGCAACCCATGGTAGGCGATAGCCAGATGTAATCACCGATAGAATAAACCGACCGACGCACCAGGCGGACCACCATGCAGCGCGGTCTCAGAGGCGGCCTTGCATGCGGGTAATCTTGGATGCGTAATCGGCATAGGCCGAAATGGTTCCCCGAGCTCTGGTAGGAGAGGGAACACAGAAAGGGACGGGAGAGAATAAGGAATGTTCTTCACCACATTTTGTTCCGGAGCAACAAGTAAGGTTTCTTTCTTTCCTTTTTTTTTTTTTTTTTTTTTTTTTTCAAGGGAAGGAACGCAAACGCTTATTATATAGGTTCCCGCAAGGTAGGGGGAATTCAGCAAGCTAGGGTTGATTCAACCAGGAAGGGGGATTCAGCAAGGAAGGGGGGATTTCAGCAAGATAGGTGTGATTAATCAAGGTAGTAGAAATTCAGCAATGTAGGGAGATTCAGGGTATGGTAGACTAAGCAAGGTAGGAGTGCTGAAACGAGGTAGGGGGAATCCAGCAAGGTAGTGGGAATTCAGCAAGGTAGTGGGAATTCAGCAAGATAGGCATAATTTAGCAAGGTAGGGATGATTCGGCAAGGTGGGGGAGATTCAGCAAAGTAGGGATGATTAAGCATTGTAGGAATAATTAATCAAGGTAGGGGTGATTATTCAAGGTAGAGGGAATTCAGCAAAAGGGTGGGAGTTCAGCAAAGTAGGGGTGATTAAGCAAGGTGGGGTGTGATTAAGCAAAGTGGGGGTGATTCAGCAAGATAGGGGGGATTCAGCAAGATAAGGGGAATTCAGCAAGGCAGGGATGATTAGGCATCCTAGAGATAATAAATCAAGGTAGGGGTGACTGAGAAAGAGGGTGGGAATTCAGCAAGATATGGAGAAGGTATGGTGATTAAGCAAGGAAGGGGGATTCAGCAAGGGAGGGGGGAATCAGCAAGGTATGGGTGATTAAGCAAGGGAGTGTGAATTCAGCAAGGTAGGGGTTCTTCAGCAAGGTAGGGGTGATTTAGCAAGGTAGGGGTGATTAAGCAAGGTAGGGGTGATTAAGAAAGGGAGGAATGATTCAGCAAGATAGGGAGAATTCAGCAAGGGTGGGTGATTAAGGAAGGTAGCGGGAATTCACTAAGATAGGGAGGATTCAGCAAGGTAGGGGGAATTCAGCAAGATAGGGGGAATTTCAGCAATATAAGGGTGATCAAGCAAGGTTGTGGAAATCCAGCAAGGTAGGGGCGATTAAGCGAGACAGGGAAAATTCAGCAAGGTAGGGGGGGTTTGGGAAGAGAAGGGGAATTCAGCATGGTAGGGGTGATTAATGCTTGGTAGGTGTTATTAGTCAAGGTTTGGGAGACTAAGCAAGATACGAGTGCTGAAACAAGGTAGGTGGAATTCAGCAAGGTAGTGGAAATCCAGCAAGGTAGGCGTAATAAAGCAAGGTAGGGGTGATTCAGCAAGGTGGCAGGGATTCAGCAAGGTAGGGATGATTAAGCATCGTAGGGATGATTAAGCAAGGTAGGGGTGATTCAACAAGGTGGGGGTGATTAAGGAAGTAGGGGGGATTGTTATAATCACAATCGGCTTAGATGTGCCTATAATGAGAGATAGAGAGCACAGTCGGATTTCCGTCAGACGGCTTCAAATATTGATAACGATCTGGTGACTGAATCAAACGGTGATCTGTAAGTTGGATCTAGAGCGCGTTGCTGTCTTCTATCAGCAGCAAATTGAATCATGAAATTCCATGAAGATTTTATGATGCTATGGCGGTTTGACTGGCAGGGGGTATAGCAGCCACTATAGTCTTAGGAGTAAAACTTAGCAAGAAGAGTTCGAGAGGGAGATGGTTCCCAGCCTCTACATACCCCAAGAGCTGAGGTCCAGGTTGGTGGTACACCACCACAGAGTCCCCAACCATGAAGAGTCTCGAAACCAACCCTCCAAGGGGCTACACAAGTGAAATGTAACACTACACGAAAGTAATGTTACTATTTTCACTATTTAATATTATCCGCGTCCCTTGGGCTTGAAATCTTGAGCTCTTGTTCTTGGATCTGCAAGATAAATTCTTCTTGAGTTGATGGGGGCTTGCTGCACACACATGCGATACGATGGACACTTCACACTCGACAAAATAGAAAAAAAACACATGCGACACGCAAACGACGACTTGACATGCAAGTTGTAAAAACTCGCTAATGTCTTGACCGACACAAACCACATTGTGATACACCATTCAAACACACACACATGCACTGGATAGCCAATGACATAGACTCACAATACATTCCATGCCATGCATGCACACACACAAATAAGGACAACAAGCCGAGTGCAAGCCATAGGGTTGCACCAACAAACTCCCCCTCGGATTGTTGGCCTTTAGAATCTGCTCCCCTTAGTTCAGAGCCATCCCAGCAAGCTTGCAACACTTCCAATGCTACTGCTCAACCAGCCTCTTGGTCATCATATCAGCAGGCTGCGCCGTCGTCTTCACGTAGTGCAACTCCACTTCACCCGCGGTTACCATGCTCCTCACCCAATGCCACTTCACCTTCATGTGCTTGGTAAGGCCATGAAGAACGGGGTTCTTAGCCAATGCAATAGCACCCTGGCTATCACAGTAGAGTGGGGTAGGTCCTTGCTGCTCCTCCCCCAATTCAGCTAGCAAACGCCGCTGCCACACAACCTCTCTTATGGCACGGAAGAGTGCCATGTACTCGGACTCCACCGAGCTCAATGCTTGGTCCACTTGCTTCTTGCTCTCCCAAGCTGTTGGCCCTCCACCAACACAGCAGATGAAGCCTCCCACACTTGTCATGTCCTCTGGTTTCTGATGCCCAAGATGCATCAAAGAAGGCGGTGAGAAAGAGCCTCCCAGGTTCGACTCATCCGCACCCTTTTGACGCCTTTGTGCCGCCGCGGAGTATTGCAGTCCAACAGTTGCTGTTTGGCCAAGATACTTGGCCACCCTCTCTCCAGCTGCCTACCTGCTCTTCATTAGGGCATTGGCCAACCCTAGCAAGCTGCCCGGGTAGCAAAGGCTGCATCCGGCCTTGTGTGAACGGCCGCATATATGAGGCTGCCCACCAAGGAGTGAAAACGGCGCCTCTCCTCTTCACCAACACTTTCCTCCACTGGTCCTTTCACACACTTGAACCCTGAGGGAAGAGGGAGTAGCCACGTGACCTTCACTCTTCCCAAAGTTTGCAGCCCAAGGCCTCCAAGTACTTCTTTTGATGCACTCGCATTCACCGCTTCTCCACATCTCGCTCAATGTGAAGCCCAAGGTAGTAGTTGACGTCACCAAGGGTTTTGCACTTGAACTTGTCTTGAAGCTTCAGCATCACCTCCTTCACAAGGTCAGAGGAGGGTGAGAATATGAGGATGTCATCCACATAAACCACCATGAAGCTCTCTGCTCCCCTCGCAAGCATGAACAACGATTGATCGGCCGTTGAGGGAGTGAAGCTGATCGCCTCCAAGACTTCCCGCAGCTTGACGTACCATTGCCTAGGGGCTTGCTTGAGGCCATAGAGTGCTTTCTTCAGCTTCCACACTCTGCCACTCCCATCATTGTACCCCTCTGGCTGCTCCATGTAGGTCTCTTCCTCCAAAACGCCGTTGAGGAAGGCCGTTACTATATCCATTTGCTTCACCACCCATCCTTTGATGGCCGCCGCGGCGAAGAGGGTTCGAAGGGTTGTACCCTTCACCACAGGAGCATACACTTCATTGTAGTCCTTCTTCTCTTGCTGCTGATACCCCTTGCTACAAGTCTGCTCTTGTAGCGCTCAATGTTGCCGTCGGCGTCGGTCTTGCGCTTGAAGAGCCACTTGGAAGAAATCGCCTTACGCCCCGGAGGTAGGTTCACCAAGTCAAACGTGTTGTTCTCGATGATGCTCCCATTTCTTCATCTGAGGCCTTCTTCCACTCCTTCCCATTGGGGCCCTCCCAAGCCTCCTTGGGATTTGTAGGCTCCCCCGGGATCTCCACCGGAGGGAAGAAAGTAGAAGCGCACTCCTCGCTTTCATCTTCCGCATCATCGCCTAGCATGAGGGCCGAACCGGTCAAGGTTGAGTTGGCTGATCCTCCAAGCCGTTCATAGCTCAACCTTTTGGGGGGCTGAGTCTTCCTTTTCCCCCTTCCTTCCTCCTCTGCTGCAGGGACTTGGATGCTCTCATGGCGTTGCGGTAAATCTGGTCGGTTCCCAAGAGCACTTGTAGCACGAGACGGAAGTGACGGTGCACGCTCATCATCTTGCTGCACCTCCTCCTCCTCTTCCCCATTCATTTGAGGAGATTGCCTCGTGATTGTGCTGCTGCTACTCAGCTCCAAGGGCAGCTCCACATGCTCCAAGCCGGTACTCTTCACCTCTCCAAGCCGCACACCAATCTTCGCTTGGTTCTCCGCCTTCCACTCCTTGTACGGTAAGTTCTCCATGAACTTGCAATCTCTGCTCACCAGGAACTTCTTGGTAAATGGGTCCCATAGAAGCCATCCCTTGCTGTTTTTGAGCCATGCCCAGGTGCACGGCCCATGCTGCCTTGGCATCAAGCTTGTTGTGCCGAAGTTTCTTAGGCACAAGTGCCATGCACATGCACCCGAACACCCGAAGCATATCCACCTTCGGCTTCCTTCCAATACACTCCACATAGGGCACCTATTTGTCTTCTCCCACGTGATTCAAGGCTCTGTTCTTGGTCACACAAGCATGACGCACCGCATCCGGCCAAAAGAAATTGGGTAGACCGGCTTCAATGAGAAGTCCCCGAGCCGTCTCCGTGAGTGTCCGATTCGCACGCTCGGCGATGCCATTCATTGCAGGAGAGTAGGGCATGGTAAGAGAGTGCCTTATGCCCTGATTCTTCAGCCAAGTTGAGAAATCCTTGCTCAGGAACTCTCCCCCACGGTCAGTGCGAATTGCCTTCACAAGTCGGTCTTGTTGCCGCTCCACCATCGGCAACCAATCGGTCTTCACCGTTTCAGCTACGTCACTCTTCTTGGGCAGCACATACACCCAGGTCATGCGAGTGTAGACATCCACAGTTGTGAGGAAGTACTCTGCTCCAGCAGCTCCAAGCTTCAAGGGGCCCACCACATCCATCACCACCTCATCAAGTGGTGCCTTCGCCGTTGTCTCCGAGCTATGGAACGGGTAGCGGGTGAACTTGGCTTGCATGCATGTTGGACAGCCAAGCACCTCATTGGGCTCCCCCTTGACACGTATCCCACTGACCATCTCTTGCTTAACAATCTGCTGCAAAATGGGCAATGCCACATGCCCCATTCGCCGATGCAAGGTCAGCCAATCACACTCTCCCGTAGCAGAAGTCGGGTTGGAGAAAGCGGCACTCGCAATCGTGCCCCACAAGCTCTCTCCTTTCTCCTTCGCCTCTGCTGCTTTGCTGATCTTAGGCTTCTCCTCCTCATTTCCACCACCTTTGGCTGCTGCACCACTCTCCTTGGGTTCACACGCCTTGCTGGTCTCTCCAAGGTTGCACTCCTTCGAGTCACTTTTGGTGTCACTTTGTTTTCCGTGATCACCGCCACCAACCGCTTCACTCTTGGTGCTGACGCTTGCTGCCACTTGCCTCTCTTTAGGCATGGGGACCACTGGGATTTGCCACATCTCATTGTAGATGTCCCTGTCCTCATGAAGGTCCCAAAGCTTCCGCTCACCAAGCCTCGCGGTATAGGTTTTGGAACCCTTGGAAGATGTGTCCATGCCGGCCTTTTGCAAACGCCGAACAGAGATCAGGTTGGCTGCTAGGTTGGGCACCCAAAGCACGTTCTTGAGGCCCATCATCTTCCCATCAGCACCCTTGAACATGGCCTTGCCCATGCCCTTCACCTCTGCTCGCTGCCCCAAAGCCGATGTAACATGCTTGACCGGCGACGGTTCGAGTTCGGTGAGCAAGTCCGCACGAGGTGTCATGCTGTAGGTGGCGCCGCGATCGATCACCCAAAAGTCCAGAGAGTGAAGGGTGACCTTTCCCACAGTAGCTGGCTCCTCAAAGCCTTCTAAACCTCCTGCTGCAGCTGCCGCTTGCGTGGAGACAAAGAAGAATTGGCCCGGGTATCGATCTTCACTCGAGTCCTTGTCGTAGTCTCCACCTTTCATGCTTGCCGCTTCGCCTCCATGACCTCTGCCTCTTCCTCCCCTTGCTCCTCTTCCCTCTTGGCCTTGAGAAGGGGTCCAGCCATCAGGTAGTTTGAAGCAATCTCTCCACATGTGGCCGGTCTTGTGGCAAAAGTGGCATTCGCCTTCAAATCGACTGCCATATCCTCCATTACCACGGCCTCCATTGAAGTTACTGCTGCCAAATCTGCCTCCTCGCCCTCTGCCCCTTCCACGGCCGTGCCCACGGCCCATGCTTGCAACTCCGGCACCATCGGGACCCGCCAATTCGCGACGGCGGAAATCTTCTTGTAAGATTTCCCGCTTCACATCTTCGAGTGAGAGACGGGGCAGATCTCGATTTAGGTTGATGATGAGCGAGGACCATGAGTCCGGAAGTAAGGCCAGCAGCTTGGTCTTCTTTTGAAGGTCACTGTAGTTCAGATCAGCTCCTTCGAGCCGTGTCAACAAGTCGAAGAATTTCTGCACTCCTTCCTCCACCGGTTCGCCTTCGTCAATTCGAAGTGCCGCCATTTGCCGCTCCAAAACCACGGCCACCGCCGCTGTTGCAGGAGCGTGTACACCCTTGAGAGCAGCCCATGCCTTTGGTCCCTTTGCTGGTTCACGCTGAAAAGGCTAGATGTGACGGATTTGGCTGCTCCCCAACGCTTGCCCAAGTAGAAGGTAGCCTTGTGCGCTCTTCCGCACCCACGGGCTCTTCTCCAGGTCGTTCTCGGGGCGCTTCTCCGTTCCTTCCATCACCTCCAGCAGATCATAGTGGTCAAAGATGTTCTCCATCTTGAAGGACCACTCAGCAAAGTTGTCACCGTTGAACTTGTCAAGGCCAAACACTCTAGGCTCATCCCTAGAGGGTCCAAGGCTAGGTTGCACCGGAGCAACGGGTGGATCTTGGTGTTGACCTTGTGCTTGGGCGTCTCCGCTGCCTCCAGCACCTCTGCCACCCCCTTCCTCAGGTCTAGGCATGGTCGAGATGGCTCCAAGGTGCTCTGATACCACTTGTTATAATCACAATAGGATTAGATGTGCCTATAATGAGAGATAGAGAGCACAGTCGGATTTCCGTCAGACGGCTTCAAATATTGATAACGATCTGGTGACTGAATCAAACGGAAATCTGTAAGTTGGATCTAGAGCGCGTTGCTGTTGTCTATCAGCAGCAAGTTGAATCATGAAATTCCATGAAGATTTGACAACGCTATGGCGGTTTGACTGGCAGGAGGTATAGCAGCCACTATAGTCTTAGGAGTACAAACTTAGCAAGAAGAGTTCGAGAGGGAGATGGTTCCCAGCCTCTACATACCCCAAGAGCCGAGGTCCAGGTTGGTGATACACCACCACAGAGTCCCCAACCATGAAGAGTCTCGAAACCAACCCTCCAAGGGGCTACACCAAGTGAAATGTAACACTACACGAAGTAATGTTACTGTTTTCACTATTTAATATTTATCCGCGTCCCTTGGGCTTGAAATCTTGAGCTCTTGTTCTTGGATCTGCAAGATAAATTCTTCTTGAGTTGATGGGGGCTTGCTGCACACACCTGCGACACGATGGACACTTCACACTCGACAAAATAGAAAAAAAAACACATGCGACACACAAACGACGACTTGACATGCGAGTTGTAAAAACTCGCTAATGTCTTGACCGACACAAACCACATTGTGATACACCATTCAAACACACACACATGCACTGGATAGCAATGACATAGACTCACAATTCATTCCATGCCATGCATGCACACACACAAACAAGGACGACAAGCCGAGTGCAAGCCATAGGGTTGCACCAACAGGGATTTAGCAAGATAGGGAGAATTCAGCAAGGTAGGGGGGATTCAACAAGAATGGTGGGATTCAGCAAGCTATGGATGATTAAGCAAGGTAGTGGGAATTCAGCAAGATAGGGGTGATTAAGCAAGGTAGGGGTGCTTACCCAAGGTAGGGGTGATTCAGAAAGGGAGGAATGATTCAGCAAGATAGGGAGAATTCAGCAAGGTTTGGGTGATTAAGGAAGGTAGCGGTGATTCAACAAGATAGGGGGAATTCAGCAAGGTAGGTTTGATTCAACAACAAAAGGAGGATTCAGCAAGGTAGGGGAGATTCAGCAAGATAGAGAGAATTCAGCAAGGTAGGGGAGATTCAGCAAGATAGGGAGAATTCAGCAAGGTAGGGGGGATTCAGAAGGTAGGGTTGATTCAACAAGAAAGGGGTGATTCAGCTTGGTAGAGGGGATTCAACAAGGTAGGGGTGATTAAGCAAGTTAGGGGTGATTACTAATGGTAGGGTTGATTGAGCAAGGAAGGGGTGATTTATCAAGGTAGTGGAAATTCAGCAAGGTAGGGGAGATGCAGCGAGATTTGGATAATTCAGCAAGGTAGGGGGGACTCCGCTAGAGAGGGGGAATTCAGAAAGGTAGGGGTGATTAATGCTAGGAAGTATGGGAGACTATGCAAGGTAGGAGTGCTTAAACAAGGTATTGTGAATTCAGCAAGGTAGTGGGAATTCAGCAAGGTAGGGGAGATTCAGCAAGATTTGGGGAATTCTGCAATTTTTGTGTGATTAAAGCCCGAGTCTAGAATGGTTTGCTATCAAGTTCAGGAATCCTGAACTTGTTTTCATCCAATAGAGGGTAACGTAGTAAATGCCGTTTGAATGTCGCAACTCTCAGGGAACAAGGGGCAGCTTGCGAATGCAGCTGAAAGGGACAAACCCGCAATTACTGTTCATCTCAGTATTCTTGATTTTCGCCGGAGACCATTATGGACGCATTTTTGTGGGGGTCTCGTGTCACTGTTCGTTCCCCCCCTTCCCCCGCCCCCCACACACTGTTCATGCACTGTTGAACTCTGTTCTTGCCGATGAAATTCCGTGCTACGATCATGGTTCTGCTATTTCGCCAAATTCTGTATTCGTCTGGGGAACTTTGCCGAAATTACTTTTGCCCAGTTTTTTTGGCACTGTTTTCATGCCCAGTATTCATGGTTTTTAACCATTCTAGACTCGTGCTTTAAGCAATGTAGGAGTGATTAATCAAGGTAGGTGTCACTAAGCAAGGTAGGAGTGACTAGAAAAGGTAGGGGGAATTTAGCAAGGCAGTGGGAATTCAGCTAGGTAGGGTTGGTTTAGCAAGGTAGGGGTGATTCAGCAAGTTTGGGTAGATTAAGCAACGTAGCGGGAATTTAGCAAGGTATGGTAGGGGTGATTCAGAAAGGGAGGGGGGATTCAGCAAGATAAAGAGAACTCAACAAGGCTGGGGAGATTCAAGGAGATAGTGCGAATGGAGCAATTCAGGGGTGAATATGGAAAGTTGGGATGACTCAACAAGATAGGGAGAATTCAGCAAGGTAGGGGTGGTTAAGGAAGGTAGCCGGGACTCAGCGAGATAGGGAGAATCCAGCAAGGTAGGGGGGACTCAGCAAGGTACGGTTGATTCAACACGGAAGCGGGGAATCAGCAAGGAAGGGGGTATTTAGAAAGATAGGGGTGATTATTCAAGGTTGGGGTGATTAATAAAGGCAGGGGTGATTGAGCAAGGAAGGGGTGATTCAGCAAGGTACTGGAAATTCAGCAAATTAGGGGAGATTCGGCGAGATAGGGAGAATTCAGAAAGGTAAGGGTGATTAATGTTAGGTAGGGGTTATTAATCTCTGTATGGGAGACTAAGCAAGGTAGTATTCCTTAAACAAGGTAGGGGGGATTCAGCAATGTAGAGGTAATTCAGCAAGGTATGCACAATTATGCAAGGTAGGGGTGATTCAGCAAGGTATGGTTGATTAAGCAATGTAGTGGGAATTCAGCAAAAGGGTGGAAATTTAGCAAGATAGGGAGAAGGTAGGGGTGATTAAGCAAGGAAGGGTGGATTCAGCAAGGTTGGTGGGATTCAGCAAGGTATGGATGCTTAAGCAAGGTAGTGGGAATTCAGCAAGATAGGGGTGACTAAGTATGGTAGGGGTGATTAAGCAAGGTAAGGGTGATTAAGAAAAGGAAGGATGATTCTGCAAGATACGGAGAATTCAGCAAGGTAGGGGGGATTCAGCAAGGAGGGGCTGATTCAACAAGGATGGGGGGACTCAGCAAAGTAGGGGGGATTCAGCAAGAATGGGGTGATTAAGCAAGGTAGGGGTAATAAATTAAAGTAGAGGTGATTGAGCAAGGTAGGAGTGATTAAGCAAGGTAGGGGTGATTAAGAAAGGGAGGGATGATTCAGCAAGATAGGAAGAATTCAGCAAGGTCGTGGGGAATCAGCAAGGATGGGTTGATTCAACAAGGAAGGGCGGATTCAGCAAGGTAGGGGGGATTTAGCGAGGCAGGGGTGATTAAGCAGGGTAGAGGTGGTTATTCAAGGTAGGGGTGATTGAGAAAGGTAGGGGTGATTAAGCAAGGTAGTGAAAATTCAGCAAGGTAAGGATGATTAAAGCCTGAGTCTACATTGGTTAGCTATCAAGTTCAGGATTCCTGAATTTGCTTTTGTAAAAGTAGGGGTAACCCAGTGAAGGGGACCATCACGTTGCGACCCTTGGGGAAATGGGCAGCGTGCAAAATTCGCTATATGAGACAAATCTCAAACTTTCTGTTCACTCATACTGAAGGTGAAAACGACCGGTACCATTCTAGACGCATTTTTAGCCGAGACTCGCTGCACGGGAAAGGCTTTGTACAGTTTGGCCCCCCACCCCCTAAGTCGTCACTGTTTGCGCACGGTTGATTACAAGTTGTTGGGTTCCTTTTGTGTCGCGAGCGACCCTTTTTTTTTCGTTGAGAAGTATTTTTTGCCAGAGGAGCTTTGCTGAAGTTGTTTTCGTCCAGTGTTTTTGGCACTGTTTCCATGATCAGTAAACATGGTTTTTTACCATTCTAGACTCGGGCTTTAAGCTCGTAGGGATGATTAATCAAGATAGGGTTGATTAAGCAAGGTAGAGGGAATTCAGTGAAGGGGTGGGAATTCAGCAAAGTAGGGGTGATTAGGCAAGGTAGGGGTGATTCAGCAAGGTAGGAGTGCTTAAACAAGGTAGGGGGATTTCAGCAAGGTAGTGGGAATTCAGCAAGATAGGGGTAATTACGCAAAGTAGGGATGATTCAGCAAGGTGATAGGGATTCAGCAAGGTAGGGATGATTAAGCATTGTAGTGATGATTAATCAAGATAGGGTTGATGAAGCAAGGTAGATGGAATTCAGCAGAAGGGTGGGACTTCAGCAAGGTAGGGGTGATTAAACAAGGTAGGGGTGATTAAGCAAGGTAGGGGTGATTATGCGAAGTAGGGTTGATTTAGCAAGGTAGGGGTGATTAAGCAAGGTAGGGGTGATTGAGAATGGTAGGGATGATTCCGCAAGATAGGGAGATTTGAGCATGATTGGGGTGATTAAGCAAGGTAGGGGGGATTCTGCAAGGTAGGGAGAATTCAGCAAGGTTGGGGGGATTCAGCAAGGTAGGGTTGATTAAGCAAGGTAGGGGTGCTTAATAATGGTAGGGTTGATTGAGCAAGGTAGGAATGATTCAGCAAGGTTGTGTGCGGTGGAGTGCGGTGGAGAGCGGTGGAGACAGCCGTCAGGAGTGCTGGCTCAAAAGGGAGCCAAGGCCGGTTGTTCGGGGCGGCAGAGCGGCGCTGCGGTGCAGCAACACGGTGGCGCAGCGACACGGCGGTGCAGTGACACGACGTCACGGTGGCACTGCAGCTCGGTGGCTGGACGGCGTGGGGGCGGCGCGGGCTGTGGCTGGCAGAGCTGGTGCCGGTGGAGCTGGGGGCCAGCGAGCTAGGGTCCGGCTAGCTGGGGACTGGCGAGCTAGGGCCTGGTGAGTGCGGGGCCAGCGAGCTAGGGTCTAGCGAGCGCAGGACTGGAGGGAGTGGGTTGAGGGTGTGCGGGGCCTGCATACGCGGGGCCAGCTGGCGTGGGGCTGGCAAGCGCGGGGGCCAGCAAGCAGGGGGTCTGGCGAGCACAGAGCTGGCGAGTGCGGGGCCAGCGAGAACGGGGCCAGTGGGCGCTGGGCTTGCGAGCACGGAGCCAGAAAGCGCGGGGCCAGTGGGTGCGGGGCTGGCGAGCGTGGGGCTGGCGAGCGTGGGGCCAGTGAGAACGGGGCCAGCAGGCGCGGGCCAGGAAGCTTGGGGCTGGCGAACGTGGGGCCGGCGAGCGCAGGGCCAGAAAGCGCGGGGCCAGCGGGCGCGGGGCTGGGGAGCGCGGGGCCAGAAAGCTCGGGGCCAGCGGGCGCGGGGCTGCGAGCGCAGCGCCAGAAAGCGCGGGGCTGGCGAGCGTGGGGTTGGCAAGCACGGGGCCAGTGAGAACGGGGCCAGCGGGCGCGGGGAAGGCAAGTAGGGGCCAGCGAGTGGCTCGCGGCTACGAGCTGCTGGCGGCTACGGGCGGCCAGCGGCTACAAGCTGCTGGTGGCTACGGGCGGCACTAGGCGATGGGCGGCAAGAAATGGGCAGCTGAAAACGGGCGGCTAGCGACGGGCGGCTAGGGCTAGAACTAGGGCGGAAGCGCGTGTGGGCGGGGAGGACCTAACGGAGCGCATGATACCATCTCAGAGTTAGAAATTTGACTAGAATGAGAGATACAAGGTGTTTTTGTGCTAAGGGGTTGTACTCTCTAAGATTACACACCTATCTAGCCCATAAGACATATACATATATGTTGTGACATTAAGCCCCTAGGAGTGTACAAGAGCAATATTTTTTAAACCAAATGATCACGTAGCTTTTGCGGAGTGCGTTTGCCCTCATTCCGCAAAATTCTTCTCTTAGAAAACTCAGAGCATGTTTCTTCCGCATGCGCACACAC